GTTAGGTATGAGTTTGCTTATTTTTGAGGTTTTTTATGCAGATCTTTTCTATTTATAGTAATTTTTTTGCTTATTTTAAAGTTTTTTCTGCAGATCTTTCCTTTTTTTAGTAACCCTATAATTAACCTTACCTATCTATGTGTATTTCGGGGTCCTACTGATCTTACAGATAATGTTTTATAAGATTTAAAAAATCAGTTATTTTTTTTTAAATATAGTATATTTTATTATAAAATCAAGATGTTATTTTGACTATTTGCTATAATTGATTTCTACTGTATAACTATATAAAATTTGTACCCTTGATCTGTGATCTGCTAATTAAAAATATTTGTATATATACTAATCTATTTACAAGTATATAAGTATATATATTCTCACAAAATATATAGTAAGTATAAATTATATAAAACCCAAATTGGTAGACCAATTTAAAGTACGTATTTAATAGAATTTATATTATATTCATAAGGCAGAATATATTTATGTGGGCTTTCCAATATGTAAAAATATTCAAAGAATTTATTTGATATGTGTTCTGAAAGATTATAATCTGATTTTTTTTGATAGTAGACTAAACTTATACATATACAAATAACTGGATATTTATTGACTAAAATGCATATATAACAGCAATATGTATATATATATGCTATTTAAAATTTAACTTGTTTATCGCAGTTTTTAAAATAGTTGTTACTAAAATATTTTGTATACTTACTGTATACTAATATAAATCATTTAATTTTAAAAATTTTTTTCTATACTTTAAATATAACTAATATATTTAAAGTATACAAAAAAATTTTTTAGAATTAGATGATTTTATATCAGTATACATTGAGTATACAAAATATTTTAGTGTCAACCATTTTGAAAACTGCGATAATAATCCTGTTTTTGCTTTATTTAGAATTTTAGAATTATTCAAAAAATTCAAGAAATTTCTATCTAAAGTTCAATCAAAACAAGAAACTCACCTATGACATATATAAATCTGCAATTCATCAGATATGATCTGTTTTAGTAGCACTGAACCTTCCTCCAAATCCTTAACTTACTAAAGACTTTTTTCCTTTGTCTCTTAATCAATTACTACTTACTCATTAAGATACAAATACAAAAATATAAAAAAAAATATGGACTAAAAACAAAAAACACAAAGATATAGAAGATTATAATAAAATATACAAACAAGAAAATAAAGAGATAAGGGAGTAACAAGAAAAGGAAAAAGACTAATAAGTATACATATCCATGTGCTACTACGCAGCACATGAGTGAAATTAACCGATGAAAAAAAATTTCCTGTTATTTATCGAATGTATGTCAAATAATGATGCTATCCAATAGTTAATATGACCATGTGAAGTTTTTTCTGATATTTCATGCAAAAAATATCATGCCAAAAAATTAACATGATCATATGATAAAAATTATTCGAATAGCTATTCGAATTATCCATTAGATAATTCTTTTTTAATATTCGCCGAATACGAATATGATTCGAATAACGAATACGAATACGAAGCTCTACGCGTATACTCATATATTCTCTAAATCCAAAATTTTCGCGAAGTTCAAAAATGTAAATCAATTTTTTTAATCGTCTTTAAGTAGAGGTTTAAATTATTTCATGTTTAAAGAAACAGCGTAGTGAATTTTATTTGTAAGCGACAATCAAATTTTTCATCCTAAAAATATTGAATATTCGATGCTGTACATCTATTTAAATTATATAGTATATACATAAATACAATTGCAATCTATATAAAAATTTTAGGTCATTAGTTTGATTTACTGTACAGTACGTTTTACAAGTAAATTAATATAGGAAATAGATCAAGACAAAAAAAATAATAATTAAAGCGGTTGTATGAAAAATACATCTGTACATTACATGCTATACATGATTTTATTTTGTAAAGGATAATGTGTATAAAAGATTTCTAATTTCCATGCTGCATTTAAAACGAACAAATTTTCTAATCCAAAACAAATGGAAAAAAATAACTACGTGATAGCTAATTCAAGCGATGTTGGAAATTTTAAATAAAAAATGAAAAAATCTCACCAAATAAAGTTTATGTTACCACAGCTCTTCAATTTGATTCGGACGATTCATAAGCTCTGCTGAGATATTGCAAACACATTGACACCAACCAAATCCAGAGTCGCGATAATCTACTTGTAGATTTTCAACCTCAAGCTCTTTTTCTTGTGCGTAACTTTCGATTGCTGCTGTGTATTCATCGCTGTTATTATTGACAAAACAATGCCACGTGATATACCTCAATTCTGCATTGCAATTCGATAAGAACATCTTTAAAGCTGGTGCTTTAAATGTCCACTTAGTAAGATCCAAATATCGTAAAGTTTCTGGTACGATTGCCCCAATTTGGGGTAAAATATAATCAGCAGTGAAAAAATTGCTATTATAGCCATGAATAATTAAACTCTCAAGTTGTCTGCATGAACTTAACAATCTGAGAAGTTCAGGAATTTGTTCGTCATCTTTTATGCTTGCCGCAAGCAGTTTAAGATTTGGACAACATTCAGCAATGGTGTCGATGATATTAGGATAAAAATGCAATTCTAGATTTAATCGAATTTCGCGAAGTGTTCCATTTGTTCTTCTAATTATTGCAGTTAATTCATTAGAAGGGGGTGTAGTGTCTTCATGATCATCAAGATAATATATGTCACGAACGTCCGTAATTTCTAAAACTTGGAGCCGCGGAAAAGTAACATATACTAAAGGTCTTAAATTGGCAGCAGTAAGTTGGCACTCTGCAATTTTAAGAGTCTCCAAATTTTGACAAGGAGCTAGCCCTTCAAGTGCAGCGGAATCACGAAAAAAAGCATTTTCCAATTGAACCTCGATAAGATTTTCTTGTTGACTGGAAAATGACAAGGTGATAGGTGATAAATCTTCGTATCCACCAGTCCAGCTGAATTTTTGTAGTCTCTTTTGAACGGAGATAAGATTTGCCAATGATTCTATTGCTGAACGATAAGTATCAACGATGACGATAGAATAAAGATTTCTACAATACATCGACATAGTATTAAATATATCCCCTTTGTAGAATTCACCACCGCAAAAAAATTCTGTTATCTGCGACAAACACTCACTAGCACCTGGAAAGCATGGCAAAGATATATAGTTTACTGACTGACACGACAAATTTCGAGAAAATCCTCGCGTATCCAGAATGAGTTTATCGAATAAATGACATTTACTCATTAACATCATACAAATCTCTCTGGCAATAATTAGTTTTCGACCTTCTTCTGTCATATCAAAAGGCGTTGGCGTGTCAAGCCATTCTTCTCCATGATCACTATGATCCGGTTCAGTAGAAACATCAAAGTGATCATACTCATCATAATACTGTTCACAATCTTCTTCCCAAACTTCTTCATAGTCAGCATGAGATTCTGGAGGAGAGAAATCAACATCACTTGTCGCG